TCTCTCTCTCTCTTTCTTTCTTTTCTATTTCTTTGGTTGCTTGGCTGCTATGGAGAGCCAGAGTCTCGCTGTGTTACCCAGGTGATTTCATCTCGCTGTGTCAGAAGGTTCTGCATTCCTCTGCTTATGTGGCTGTGCACTTGTCACGGAAGGTCGCCTGGAGAGGGCGCCAGAGTCAGTGAGGGTAAGACTGCGCTTCCTGTTCTCTGGGCTGGCGCCCTTGGTCCTGCTGGTTTACGAGGCTTCTTCTCTGGACTCTGGCGTCCCCAACAGGTTCCCAGTGTTCGGGTTCTGCAGGGCACGCGGTGGCCGGCAGCTTCCCTTCCTTCCATCTCCCTTAGGCACTACGGGATCTGTGCTTCCGGTGAGACGCGTCCCATGCACATCAATCCCAGGTGCCCTAGGGGGCAGATTTCCCACAACTCCCAGGGGCACTTTTCTAGAAAGTTCAACTGGGGGGAGGCGTTACAACAATTTCACTGCCATTTTGGGAGGCGACGCCTCTGCTTCTCGGGCAAGGTCAGGACTTCAGGACTGTGAGGGGGGCAGTTTTTCCCTGGATGCTTTAATTTCGCCCTGGAAAGTGTCCTTTGTCCTAGGAAAGCGTCTTTTCTAGGGTGTTCTACGTCGAGTGTGTGGTGTGGGCTTCCTGGGCCATGTGGCTCCGCTCTGGGGACACCGCCATGGGCGCCTGTGTCAGCCGTCGGGGAGTCTTTTCCTTGGGCACCCCGTCTCGGTTATGTTGTGGGGCTGGGGAGCTTTTCTTGGGTACTCCCTCTCGGTGATGCGAGGGACTTTTCCTGCTGCAATGACCTGAACCCAAGGGTGGGGACCCTACCTTGGTCGCCTGTGTCAGCTTCGGGTGTGGCGGCGTTTCTTCCCCGCTAGGCCACGACCCTGCGGGGGGACTCTGCCTTAGGGACTCTGTCTGTGTTCGGGGCTGGGGTCGGGGTGGCTATTCCGCGGACACATGATTACCGCCCTGTGGGGTCATTCTCTGTCGCGGGCTTTATCTCAGCCCGCGAGGGACTCTTCGTTGGGTGCTGATGTCGGCCGTGGGGCACATTTGTCCTTGGATGTTGCTGACTCTCAGCTAGTATGTGTTGGCCTTTCTTTGGACCTATTTATCCCCGATGGGGACGCCTACCTGATGCTTTCTCTTGGTGCTGGGTTTTTAAATTATTATCCGTGGGTGCTGTCTCCTGGTGCTGCGGGGGAGTGGGGTGCTGTTCCTTGTATTCTCTAAGTCTTCGGTGGGACTTGGGGAGCTCTGTGTCAGCCATGAGGGAGGCCATCTGACCTTGTGAGCTCTATCTTGCTCCGGTTTGGGGTGCTTTTCCTCGGTTGGTTCTCAGTCCTGGAAGAGCTCTTCCCCGGGTACTGTTTGACTTTTCAGCCACGGCCTCAGGTATCTGTGTGGGAATTGGAGTCCAGAAATAGATGAAGGTTCCAGCTGTGCCACATTCACACACTTGCTGTACAGTTAGGCTTTCATTCCAGCCACTCTGATGGGTGTGCAGTGATCTCTTCTTATGTCTACACTTGCATTTCTCTGCTGATTAATGAGATTGAGCACCTCTTTTTAAAAGTTTTTATTTATTGATTTTTGTTTGTGTTTTGAGATGGGGTATCCCCTGTTGTCCAGGCTGGAGTGCAGAGCCACCATGCCCAGCTATTTATTTATTTTTTTTTTGAGCACCTTTTAATGTGTTTATTGGTCATTTAACTATGTCATCTATAAAGCTCCTTTTCAGGTCTTTTCCCCCAGCTTTTACTGAGATGTTTGTAATTTAAAAATGGATTTGTAGTTTACGTATATTCTGGATTTCAGTTATACACACATGCACACAGGCATATATGTACATATATAAAAATATATGTACAATTTTTATATCTTCCATAAATCTGTTTTGTTTTTACACGATCTCAATAATGTGTTTTAGATGAACACATCCTCCTAATTTAATTAATCTGTGAATTATTTATGTCTAGTGCTTTTCATTATTTTAAGAAACATCTTTGCCTCACCCAGTGCCATGACAATAATATTCTTTATTATTATTATTATACTTTAAGTTCTGGGATACATGTGCAGAACGTGCAGGTTTGTTACATAGGTATACACGTGCCTTGATGGTTTGCTGCACCTATCAAACCATCATCTACATTAGATATTTCTTCTAATGCTATGCCTCCCCAAGCCCCCCACCCCCCTACAGGCCCCAGTGTGTGATGTTCCTCTCCCTGTGTCCATGTGTTCTCTTATTCAACTCGTACTTATGAGTGGGAACGTGTGGTGTTTGGTTTTCTGTTCCTGTGTTAGCTTGCTGAGAATGATGGTTTCCAGCTTCATCTATGTCCCTGCAAAGGACATGAACTCATCCTTTATATATATCTGGCAACAAATGTATATATAAATATATATATATATATATATATGTATATATAAATACATATGTATATGCATGTGTGTGTAATTAATATATATTTTTATATATGACCTGTACTATATGCTACATAATATATAATCTACAAACAAGCTTTGCTTTTTCATTCTCTTTTGAGGAACAGAAATTTTCCATTTAATTTTGTCTAATTAAACAATTCATTCTTTTTAGTTAGGGCTCTCTTATCTTCATTAAAAACATCTTTTCCTATTCTATACTTGTTAAGACAATATCTTAAGTGTTTTCTAGATTGTCTATCCATCTTTAAAAAGTTTTGTGGAGTGGGAAGAGGTAAGAATCAAGGTTTGTATTTTCCCTGCATTTATCAAGTGCATTTATTAGAAGCACTGTCCTTTCCACAGTGATTTACAGCTCTTCTGTATTTTGTATTTCCAGATTCTTTCTGGCCTCTGTGTCCTCTTCCTTTGGTGTATTTGCCTGTCATTACTCCGATACCTCACTGTTTTTATTACTCTACCCTTATAGTAAATTTCATATTTGGTAGTACATATCTGCCAACTTAGTTCTTTTCCTTAAAGGTTGTCATGGCTTTTCCAAATCTTTAATTTGCATACACTTAAAAATGATCTGCTTGTCAATTTTCAGAAAACATTTTGTTAACATGGTGGAGTTTTAAATATGATTCCTATGATCTTTCTGAGAGAATTAACAATAATGCCTCTTAATAATGTCTTCCAATGCATGGCAAGAATATTTTTCTCCATTTACTGCAGCCTTGAATTTCTCTCAGTGATGTTTTATATTTTTTGTGTAGTACCCTGATACATCTTGATTTGATTTATTCCTAAGTATTTGATGATTTTGGTACTGTTTTTAGTAGCATTTGAAATCTCATATTCTGATTATTTGTTGTTATTAATTATACAGAAATACCAGTGGTTTTTATTATATCTACTAACTTGACTAAGTTTGCTTATTAATCACAATGATTTTATTCCTTTACGTTTTCTATGTACAGAACAATGTCATCCATGAATAATGACAGTTTTATTTCTTTCCAAATTTTAAACCTACTATAGTTTCCTGATGCTACTGCAATTGTTAGAATCTCCAATAAATTGTTGAATGGATAGTGGACATCTTTGTCTTGTTTTCAAACTCGGGGAGAAAATACTGACATTTCACTATGAAGTATGGCATTTACTATTTTTTCTGTACATATGCTAGCCAGAATAGGAAAGTAGCCCTTTTTCCTAAGTTGCTGATAGTTTTTAATCACGAATGGACTTTAAACATTGACCCATGTATAAAAATGATCATGTAGTGTTTCCCTGTTTTTTTTTCTGCTGTTGTTGTTGTTAATGTGGTGCATTACATTTGTTGATTTTCAAATGTTAAATCAATGTTGCCTTTCTGCAATATTCTCCACTACGGCTGATGTATGTCCCTTTTAAGTACTATGGCATTTTAGTTGCTCACCTTTAGTTTGGAATTTTTGTGTGTAAGTTCAGGGGTGATCTTGGCTTGTAGTTTGGCTTGATCTTGTAGTTTTTCTTTCTTCTAATGTCCTTGTCAGATTTTGTTATCAGGTTTGTATCAATCTCCTAAAATGAGGACAAAGAACAGGAACTATTTTTCCTAACAAGGGTTAATACAGATTGGTTTGTACATCTTCAAAGAGGTAATAATATTTTTATCTACTTTTGGTTGATAAGAGCTGCTTATTCCACAGGCATTCTGATTGATTTTGGTTGTACCATCTTTCTTCCTTTTTTACTTAGTGTTCATTAATATAGATTCCTTTTACTGAGAACAGAGTGATTGTTGAGACTTGGTAAATCTTGGCTCATGATTAAAAGTGAAATCAATGATTCAAAGTCTTGGTTGTATACACATATGCAGAACTGTGTGCCATTTTTTGATTGATAGATTTTTATTACTTTTGAATATGTTCATTGATGTTTTTCAAGGAAACAATGACCGATAAAACAGAGAAAGTGGCTGGTGATCCTGAAACCATATTTAAACGTCCCAGGGAATCTGATAGTCCTTCTTATCAGAAAAGGCAGAAGATGGCCCTGTTGGCAAGGAAACAAGGAGCAGGAGAAGGACTTATTGGAGGCTCTGCCATGTCCAAAGAAAAGAGTAAGTCAGTCTGTCCTCACCTCCTCTTCATGCTGTGTCCAGTGCAGTTGGCCTCCTGCCTGTTCCCCTCCAGAGAAACTGCCCTTGTCAAGGTGAACAGTTTCACCTGACATGGCCATTAATTTCTCAGCAGCATTTCACAGTTGTTCACATGCTTCTTCATGGAAACTTTCTAGGATTTCCATTTTCTTCAATCTTTTTTTTTTTAATTTCTTGTCCTCATTGGTGAATCCCTATCATTTTTTTCTTTTGAGATGGAGTTTTGCTTGGCCAGACTGGAGTGAAGTGGGGTGATATCAGCTCACTGAAACCTCCATCTCCTGGGTTCAAGTGATTCTCCTGCCTCAGCCTTTGAGTAGCTGGAATTACAGGCACCAGCCACCAGGCCCAGCTAATTTTTGTGATTTTAATAGGATGGGGTTTTGCCATATCGGCCAGGCTGGTCTCGAACTTCTCCTGTCAGGTGATCCACCCACCTCAGCCTCCCAAAATGCTGGGATTACAGGCATGAGCCACTGCACCTGACTCCTATCATTCTTTTTTTCTACCTTTCTTTTTCTTCTCTTCTGTAAATACTGTGAAAAATTTCTGAACCCTAGCATATCTCTCTCTCCTTCCATTCTACTCTGCCATGATGAATCACTGAGCTACTGTGATGTCTCCATGTCTCCCATTATTGCCCCCATCTAACACACACCCTCCAAACCTGCAGCCAGGTCATCATGTTGGCATGTAAATCACATCATGCCATGTCGCTCTTGAAAACCCATCCTTAATTCTCCTAAGCACTCAGAACTGACCGTGAACTAGCTTTAGTCCGTGAGGTTTTGCCTGGCCTAAGCTCTGTCGCCCTCTCCTAACACGGGTCCCATCCATCTCCTGGCTCTCTCTGCCTCTATCCTTTACCCCGTAGTGCCCGGTCCATCCCCATTCCAGCCCCTACCCTTGGCCTCACTGCAGCCTGGAAATCCCCCTCTGCCTCTGCACAGACTGCCCCACTTTTTCCTCCAATCGCCGCCCAAGGGCACCTCCTCAGCAGGCCCTGCCCAACCAGTGGTAGCTCCTGTGACTCCCTCTGCTGCTGTCTCCCACAGAACTGTGGACGGCTTCCCCAACACCAGCCCAACGCTGTTTGTTTCATTTGCTCATTGTGCACACACTGACTGTCGCGTGAAGATGTGAGCTCCACAAGGGCAGGGAACGTTGCTCTCTGGGCTGCTTGCTGCTGATCCCCAGCTCCTAGCATGCTACTGTCACAGACAATGAATAAATGAAAGAGGTGTCAGACCTGGAGTGAAAAGAAAGTCACTTTTCTGACACAGAAAAGGAGGATGAGGAAGATCATACACTAAAAGAGATGTTTAGTGATGGAGCGCATATAGAACTTTCAGCACTAATGGCCGCCTCCATTTTCTCAGAATATGTTTGATATAGAGAGGAGGCAGGTTGTGATGTATCCAAGTTGTCTGGCTTCCAGCTGAGTAAAGCATGGCGGGTTGTATGTGAATTTGAGAAATCATGATATCAAGTGAGACTTGCTGCTTTCAACTTATAAAGCATAACAAGCTGACACCAACAGTTGACTACCAGGGACCTGTGAATATTTGTTAGAGTTATACTGTCTTATTTGATTTCCATATGTATTGATAGAGCCAGAAACCAAGAGATGGTTTTATCGTTTTATGTGTCCTGGCCTCAATTCATCAGGTCTGGGATTTTCCCCTGGTATATCCTCCCATCTATGAAATAAATAATGCCCTAGAAACTGAGGAGCACATAGATGTACCCAGAGGTGTGATGAAACACACATATCCCACAGCTCAACTTCTCAGTTTGGTTTCCAGATCTGTCATTCATGATGTCTATGTGGAGGGTAAAGAACGTGGTGAAACTCCAACTGATGGCTTTTTGTCAAAAT